CGGAGATGATTAATGCATGGCTATATTAAAGTGAAATTACGCAATTTTTTTCCCAATAAACAAGAGCGTATTTTATATTATTGTACCCCGGAAATCAAGCCATCCATCCGACGTTTTCGAAAACGGAACATTATTTATTTTGTATTTTATTTTTGTACCGAAAAATGGTTTTCATTAAAAATAAATATAATTTTCCATTGGTAGAGAGAGCATGTGCGGCATTCTGTTACCTTTTAAACCAATTTATATCTTTTGCTTTTCACACGAATTATTTTCCAGTGAAAGCCACACGAGTGTATTTGAAATGGATCGACTTTGTAATGTTGTTGTTTGTATGGTTTTTTTGTTTCTTGCAAATTTTCGAGCAAATGGTTTCTCTTCTACCTGTGTACGGAATTTGAGTATTTGCAAAAGGTTCGAATGTCATTTTAACATCATTAATAATGTAATACATGTCCAAAAATTCATGAAGAAACAATGTTCAAAAACAGACATTTTCGCATTCAATAATTCATACGGATGCTCGGCTTCCGGTTCATGGAACTTTTCATTCAATGAAAAAAAAAAGTCGATGTATATTTTGAGTGACAACCACTCAGTCCGCTGTCTATTCACCGACATCATTGAATTGATTTATTAAAATTGAAATTATAACGATTCACGTAAAGATAAATTGATCTGTTTTATGGAATTCGTCATTCACATGCATGATTGTGTGTGTGCGAAACAATTACGGCCCATGTCCAAAAATATATTTGGATCCATTTTTTTCCGTTGGATCACCAATTGTTATTTACATCAATTGAAAATCAAAAGCGTTTCATACAAACGTTTAAATGTTATTATCATCAAATGAGTAAATAAATCATAATCTTTTGTTTTGCATAGACCACAAAATATACTGAAATACTGAGTGAGAGATAAAGCAGCAACTGTGTGACCGAAAGTAAATAAAACTGTGGAAAATCAGTCATAATTATGATCTGTTATGATTTTTTTTTTGTTCGATTGTTAGCGTGTTTTTCAAGCGCACACACAGACAGGTCATTACGATGACAAACATTGTGATTAAGATTTATCGTGCAACGGTGGTGTTTTTTTACTCTCTTTCTCCTTCTCTTTCTCTCTCTCTTTGTCTGTTAGTTCGAAATAATATTATAGCCATCCGTTTTGTTGTGAGTTTATGAAAGCCTAATGTCGCATGAAAAACCAAAGATAATTAATATGTTTATATCGTCTGTTTTTCTGTGAGCATGTCGTTCACAGGTTTGTTCATTGCTGTGTGCCATTTCTTTTTTCATGGAACTTTCTGTGAAATGATGTTCATTTCAAAATGAGCAGCACTTGGACACAGCAACATCAAAAACCGCATGACATTTCACGAATGCAATCAAGACACGATGAGTTGAATAACATACACAAACAATGGGACAAGAGAGCGACTCATCATCATTCATTTTTCAGGGTTGCCGTTAGCAATCGAAAATACCAGACACATGCAAGCTTTACCATTGCTACCACATTCCGTTGCAAAGAATGTCTGAACACATTTATTGCTCATACAGAAAGTGAAGGCGCGCGCTAGCATACAAGTGAACGCGCATTTTGTACAAGAAGTGAAAGGGTCGAAAATTAAAGAAAATTCCTCCATTACAACTCGACAAAGCAAACGATCACTACAGATGAAGAAAAAAGCATTTTGTTGAAGATGGGTACACACACACATTTGCCTCGCTCTTTCACTCTCTGTATTATGTGTCTGTGTTATGTTCGCAATTTTGTTTTGTTACAAGATTTTTCATTTTCTTCATGCCTTTTGTTTTCGTTTGCATTTTCTGGAAACCGTTATGAAGTCAGTATTTTGTGTTGGGGAATTCTTTTGCGTTGTTGTTTTCATTTGACATCATCTCCATCCTTTAGCAACCACATTCACAGTATGTTTTGCTCGAAAATACTTGGGTTGGTTTGTGTTGCTTATCATTCTCTCCTGCCATTGAATTCTCTGCTGTGTTCGATGCTTGACTAGTGTTAGCTTGCTACTTATGATATGAGAGAAAACTAAAGGAACCATTGTAATCGTTCGTCGGAATGAGAGTGAAACTTTGTGTGTGAAAGAGGGTATAGCAAGCGAGAAAGAGTTTAATTTAAAAGCAATAAATCAGTATTATGCTTCGCGTAAAATGGAAAAATATTCGAAATGGGAATGGTAGCAAGCGAGAGTGGCAAAAGAGCTGGCATACAACAGTAGAAAGGATTGAAGCGGCGAGAACAAAAACCAGCGACTGTAAGTGACGAAGTTGTGTATGTGAATCGCGTGTTGAGTGCTCACACTCTCTTCAAAATCCGAATACTCTCTTCAATAGAACACAAACGAACTTGGATGACGGCAGAGAAAGAGTGAAAAAAAAGAGAAGAAATCACGTAATATACAAAACAAAACATGGTGCAGCCACAAGATAAATACGGCATTCGCACAAATAGCTCAAACAATAAAGATAGATTAATATAATGGGCACCGCGTGATATTTAAAATTATTAAACAGTGTGCTGTAGCGCGAATGTCTTTTTTCCATATGAGATTTTTCCTGGCGCTGATTTTCAATTCCCCCATCGCATCCGTTTGTATTTAGCCGAAGGAAACGCAATCGGTATGAGACCTCTCTTGATTTTCTTATTAACTTTTTTTGCACCGATCGTGTGCCATTGTGTATGAATGAAATAGAAAAACTTGTGTTGAAGTCATCGTAATGATTAATTTGCTCAGCAAGATTTCATTTAGTTTTTATGTTTGTCGGGCAATAACAGAAACCGGCTCATGATTTGTTTATTACATCATCGAAAACACATTCATTGTTTGGAAAGCGACATGAAAAACGAAAGAGTTGCTGTGCAAAACACAGTCAAATGGCGAAAAATCAACGTGTTTTGTTCATTTGTGTTAAAGCATGCATTGATTAGATTTAGGGGCCGATCTCACTTGATAATGAATTATTATTCATTTTTTTGACAGCGTTCGCAACATAAACAACGCCAAATCCACTTGTCTGGAATGTATATATATCATTGCAGCACCGGCGCCTGATGTCAGAATGCGATATCATCGAAATCTGTTTTTAAATACCTAACCACCGTTTGGTGCTGTCGCTTCGCTTAGATGCGCACAATTCAGACATCATTTCTTATTTAATTAAATGAGAGATTTAGCAAAAGTGGCTTCTCTTTGCGCAATAAAATAACTCATCATTTATATCCATTAAGTTTGGTGGGAAAAATGACTTACTTTTAACCATTGAAATGAAGTAACTCGGTGTGCATCCGAAAATTATGCATTATTTGACCTAATAAATTGAAATCGCCAATAAATCTTAAACTCTGAACGCTTTTGCTTACTCGCTTTAAATTGATTTTCTCCGAATTTTATCCAAATACTCGTATAATTCCATGTTGCAATTGCTTCTGCTGTATTTGTCGCTGTGAAAAATATCCATTTGTTGGTTAGAAAATATTTCCACCCCAAAATCCAAACTAATTCTCGAAGTAATTTATTCAATTTTTGAGCTTGGGCTGCATTTCCATAAAGCATAATCAATTTGCTTGCACATGAAAACTGCAGGTCGTTTCGGAATAATTGCCAAATTTATACGTAAATACTTTCGGCTATTTTCGACTATGTTTTACATCGAATCGTGTGGAAAAAGGGTAACCAACTCATACACATATGCAGTTGATGACTCTATTGGCCAGTTTCATGTGTGCCATTTCCGATGGCAAAGTAACTGCAATAACGATAATAATAATGATATATTTTATGTGATCCCTTCTCGTTACGACAAGAATGAATTAACCGGTTCCGAATCGAAGACAATTAGCATGAAAATATTCATTGCCTTCACGATTACGACTCGACTACGAGTGCTTTGTATGATAATTTTTGCCAGACCAGAGTGCTCTAGTTTATAAAATAAAACCGAAAGGCAGAGAATGAGAAATAGAGATTGTGTGTGTGTGTGTGTGTTTCCAAACTGCAATTTACATTCGGTATGGCCAATTCATAGAAATTTTAATTTGTATGAATTGTTATTCGACAATAATGAATGAAGATTATTAAAATTGTTAGCACAATCTACCACTCTCTTTCTCTATCTCTCTCTTCCGCTCAGTTCAAACAGACAGAATTAAATTGTCTACCAAACATAATTTTACAAAAGGTCAGGGAATAACATTTTAAACGAAAAAAAAACTGACGGCATAAAGACCCTTCAATTGAAATGTTGGCTAATTAATTTTGCAATGGAAAATATGTTTTGCACAACGGCGTCGGAACCGTGCGACGGTGAAAAAAATGCTACAAACACACACATTGATATTTACTTAGCGCAAGTAAATTTCTTTTCAAGTTTTTCCGCTCAATTTCATCTTGGTTATTTTAATTGGATTATGTTTATTTATGTAATTGAGTTGAATCGACCGAACATAAATGCGTTACAAATTGGAATTTGTTCAGTGTATCGAATAATAATTTTCTGTTTTTTTTATTGATAAATTGCTACTGAATGGGTTCTTTTCAATACTCCAATACTTCACGTGATTTACTTTAATATTGGTATTTTGTGATACAAAAGTGCTTGGCAATAATGTAAATCGCTGAATGGAAATATGAATTGCTAATATCTCTTTCTCGAAGCTTCAAGGAACAATGAATCGATGCACCATTTTTTTGAGAATTGAAAAATATTTTTCATGCTTACACTTAAGAAACGTTCCTATCGCTTATTCGTTTCGATAAACTTTAAAAAATTGTAACTGAAACACATTTACATCCCACTTTAGTGTGTGGGTTTCCATGTGAAGGTATTGTGCGTGGTGCATAATACGAAAACAATCAACAAAGGACTCTCAACACAAAAAAAATCTCATACAATGAAAAATGAAGAGAAAAGCTTGAAAAAACACACACAACAAAATGGAAACATTTTTCCATTCATTTTTTTCTCTCTTACCTTGTTGCTAAATCCCTGTGTACAAAGTTCATTTGTTCCAAATATTTCATACCCGAAGCTATTTGTGTAGCAATGTACATTAAACAGCCATAACTGTTTGAGTGAGTATGTTGTTGTTGTTTTTGTGCAGCCACCGAGATAAGCGTCGAGTCATGACACGGACAGAAAAAAAAGAGAAAGAAAAAAAATTAAAATGAAAAATACATAGTTTATAAATATTAAAATATTGTTCGTTTCTGGTACTCGTTTGTATGTGTTCGAGCGCAATTGTTGGGTTTGGGTTCGATTCGGTAACGGTGTGTATGGTGCATACACTTTAGGAAGGACACTCATATCCAATTTCAATGGAACCACTGTTTTTTCCACCATCGTTTGAAGCAATTTTATAATTTTTCTTTTAGATTGTCTCATTTTATTCACTTTGTTCTTCTGTGTATGTGTTACTCTTTTTTTTCTCTTGGATTTGCTTGTTGTTGGGATTGGTTCGACAATTCCAGGAAAAATATGCGGAACATTTGCAAAATGAAGCGAATAAATAAACGATGTAGCGAACGCATGAATTCGTTATCAGAAAGAAACGAAATGTCCGAAAGCATATTTTACAACAACAACAACCGAGACACAGAACAAAAAAAAAATCGAAACACACACAGAAAGAGCTCGAAATCAGAATGGTTGCTGAACATGAATCGTTTGCTTTTATGCATGTTCAATTTTTGATTGAGCTCAAAGGCGAAAGAGAAAACACATTCGAAATAATGAAATGACGACAACGATGACGCTCAAAAGAGTATTGAAATGAAATATAAATCATGAAAGAAAGGACTCTGAATCGGATTTAAAAAAAAAAACAATGTTCTTCTGTATTTCGGATTTTTTTTTCTCTTAGGTTGAAATAGAAATTGTAATTGAATTTGATCCAGAAATTGAAACTAATTTGCTTCAAATCTGTAGAGTATTAACACTGAACTATTGTTGGTTTGTTTTTGGTGTTGTTTTCACTTTTCACATTGGCAAAATGTATTTTTTGGTGGTTGTTGTGAATGAATTAAGGCCCGATAATGATTTAGAATGGATTAAAAACAATGTACACTTTCCCATAGACCGAAAACCGAATCGAAATGCAAACTAATTTCTTTAATGCCACTACTTAAAATTCTATAATTGCAAGCACACAAAAGAGACAAAACATGAACAGTTTTCAACTAGCTAATTCTTGTTTTATTCCAGCTACGTGTCCGAAACGGATGGAGAAATGTAGATAAAAGAAAGAGAACAAATATCATTGTTACGTACCTCAGTGATTTGTTCTGAACGCCAACCGGTCCAGTTTCAGCGACATGCTCCTGTAGAAATTGATTTAAATCCCCTTGGCAATCGCTATAATCGAGCACAATACAAATTGGTTCATCGCGTAAACATGCACCCAACAATGGAGCCACATTCACATCCTTTAAGCGACCCAGGTGTTTTGCTTTGGCACGAAACTCTTTTTTCGTATTCTCGGAAACGCCGGGCCGTAATGTTGCAACCGCTACCAGATTATAGCTGCACACATACACACAGGCGTTGATGAAAATGAACCACAATATCGAAAGAGAGAAACGAGATTGTGAATGAGAAAGAGAAAAAAAAAAATTACAGAATGCACAAATGAAAATTACGATAAATTGGAAAATAAAAGAGTACTTTTTTTCGTTTCGCATGACAGACACATACATAGCAGATACAAATGAGCGGTTATACGCTATAGAAACGCTTTATCGCAATAAAGAGAAAAACAACAAAAAAGCGACATACGGCAATGATCAAAATTACAATATTAAAGTGCAGCCGGAAATGAAAGAATGAAAATGCGCTGGCTTTTGTTTCAATACCACTCGCAAGAGAGTGAAAACGATACGGATTTTAATATGCAAATAAAAGAAATGAACAGAAAAAAATACGCGTACACAGAATGTGAATGCGGGAAATTGCCCGAGTTCTTTTGGTTAACGAAATAGACTCCCATTTTAATTCGATGCTAAATTATAAAAGCGCTCTTTTTCTCCGATAACACACACAGACGCGATGCCATTTTCTTTTCCTCTTTGTGTTCCTCATTTTGAACTGCGTGTGTCTTTAGTCCGTCGATGAAGCGAAAAACAACACCAGAGAGTGAGATAGAGCGAAAATATACTGAACGATTTGCAAATAAATTTCAATAAAGTGTGCACCGAACTATCGTTTGATTTGCACATAACCGTTTCGTTACACTTTCTACCAGCACCAACATCATCATCATCATCGAACCAATTGCTTCATTGTGTCGAGGTGCTTTGTTAAGAGTGGGTATGTGTCATGAGAAAAGTTTGTAATTGAAATTAATGCCTGGCAATATCCATTTTCGATGGAATGGCTGCAAGCTCACGAAATCCTTATAAACTTTGAGTACTCATGCGACAATCGAAAATGTCGAATGAAAATTAACTGGCATATCGATACAGCAGTGTGTGAGTGTGTGTTGTGCATGTGTCGCTTTCCTTACAACCCATAAAATGTTTGCTTCGTTATGAGTTTATGCGACAATTATCGTTGCCACTTTTATCGAGTGTGCAATATAGAAAGAGCATCATGCATTCACTATCCATTGCCCATATAATGGCTGACAATGGTTTAGGATAATTCAAAAATATACGATGCTATTTTAAGGTTTTTTTTTGTGCTATATAGATTGCCCTGGTACTTTCGATGGGCGACCGATTCTCTTACACAGAGACAGACGATGGGCAAATAAAGGACAATTGTTATTTTGTGCAGAGATAACATCCCTTGGCTCTACTATTATTTTCTTGACTTGAACGAACGCAACGTTGTAATTTATAAAGACAAAGTCGAAGGCGAATGGCTTCGGTGAAAGAAAAAGCCCTTCAAGCTTCATTAAGAGAAAAAAAAACCTTTTTCTCCCATCAAAGGCACATCAGATGATTTAAATATATAGACTTTTCAAAATGTAATGGCATATTTATCTTCTTGGAAAATGACACAACTTCGAAATTAAGTAGGGTGCTTTTCAATTTTGATGAATAATGTTATCCATTTCAACGTAATACTTTTTCAAAATTGAATAAATAAGTACTCGACGTGAACACCCAATGTTCCAATGAAAAATGATCTAAAAATTACTCTCTCTCTCTCTCTCTCTCTCTCTCTCACACACACACACACACAAATGCAATGGAATCGAATTTCACCTGACATTTTAGTGATAGTTGATGATATATTTTATGATTTTATTTTAGTCTCCATTTGGTAATTTTTATACAGCAATGCACACCTTAGTGAATCATCATCAACTACTGATGGTTGATTTGCCGTATAAAATAATGATAGTGTATTTTCAAACTTAATACTGGATAAAATATCAAATTCACTTGACTTTAAATTGCATAAACGTTGTGTCATTGGATGCCATAAAAATGCACCGTGTGCACCGCGCCGTGTGTGTGTAAAAGTGACACACAGAGAGAGAGAACCAAATTCAGAAGAAAACGACAATTTAAGTGGTTCAAAATATATGCATTTGCAAGGTTGTTTCCGTGAAAATACACTTAAAATGGTTTCAACGAGCATAAAGATATTTTAGTGAATTGCCTTATTTTAATAAATTAACATTTTTCCAAAATGGTGCACAACAAGAAGACGAAAAAGTAAAAGAAAAAAAAAATGCAAACCCTGGCTTGCCAACAAACGAACGAAATACTATCAGTTAGTCGAGTGTCGTGTTTCGCCGATTTTATCACGTACAATCCGCGTGCACACGGGAAGTTGAAAGACTATCTGAGCCCATTTTAATAGATTCATGTAGTTATAGTATGTAGTACTACTGGCTGACAAACTGCGTATAAATAACGGGACAAGCTTAAAGCCCATTAAATGTTTAGTGTTATTTTCATTTTTGAGACGTGGCTGCTTACCACTTAAATGCTCATTTAAATTTATTTTAAACTCTCTCGTGCGCACACATACGCTCATTCACGTGTATCAATTTCAGGCACGAAACGATCGAATCGCAGAGATAAAGCAATAAAGTGACACATAATGCGCTACTAAATTATTATTATTTAAACAGACTGTAACTTCTTGCATGTGTGACGTGCCGGAATTCTCGGGAATTATTTATCAATGAAATGGCTTTGGTATAAACCGTTTTCGGAAAATAATAATGTTGAATGAAAAAAAAAAGAAGATAAATGGAAAAATTGAAATGAGAATGGTGTATATTGTAGCCTTACCTTAATCCTTTTGTTTCACATAAATGCAATTCGCCGAACGCACCGCTGCCAAGCTTCTCCACAATAACCAATGAATGTCTGGGAAATTCGTTCAATTGCTGTAAATCATCGTCGGTCGATGTTGCATCGGTATCATTATATGAGCTGAGCAGATTTGTTGTAGCCGTCGGTTGTGCAGCCGACGTCGTTGATGATAGTGGCATTGTGTTGGTCGTATGAATGTTATTCCCATTGCCGTTTGTTGCCATCGATGTAGCCATCGTTTTACAAATGGCAGTCGTTGCATAGTATTTTTCGGTTGGCGGCGGAGGAACGGGTGGCGGCTTTGGAAATATGCTTTGCAAAGATGGCGGCGTATTACGAACGCTCATATAACCACCTGGTATTTTCGGTATTAAATTCTGCATATTCTGTGGCACAGCATACTCTTGGCAAACAATATCAGGAACGTCTGAAAATTCAGAACATTAAATAAATACAGACATATACAACTGGATAGAATGCGATGCGTATATGGAATGAGACAGCAGCCAGAAGAGAGCAAGAGAATGAGTACCAACCAAGCAACGATAGAGGCGATAGAAGTAGAAAAAAACACGTCGAAAATATTAATAGAGCGAGAGTGCATCCAAAAGTAGAGACATAATAAAAGAAATTCGTAATGGAGTGGAAGCAATATTACGTACGATAGTCTCTCAAAAGCGCTTCAGCATATGCGTTCGCCACTCAACAGTGGAACAGTATATAAAATCACAAAATATTTTTTTTTGTATTATTACGAATGACAAAAAAAGGCTAAAGTATATTATAATAAAAAAACATATTGTACCGTTGTCTTGCACTTTCACAACACAAATAAAGCTTGAAAATAAAATGGGCAAAACCAAATTATTTTCGTTAAGAACACCTACACGTAAAAAAAGGACCGCACACTACAATTGTTTGTTTGTTTTTTTTTGTTCTATCGCTCGTCTGGAGCAAAGGCACTTAGATGACATTTTTTTTACTCTGTTGCTATTACGGCGAAGACTAATGTGCTTATTTGCATAATGTCTCCGACGTAGGAGTTTATATAATTTGGTACTGTATTTTTTTTCTATTTTCGACTGTCCTTACGAAACGACGCCGATTTTATTTTCGTTTGTTTGAAATGAACAAGAACCGGCGTCAAGTAACAGGTGACAGTAGTAAATTTAATTAGGATTACATCCAACGCATTGACTATACATCGATCTTCATTAAATCCTTTCCATTTGTGACTGGCTGGCGGTTATATTGTTCTCGTTTCTTTTTTTATGTGGAAATGTTGGTAGTTAGCTTTAATTATGTTTTGGACGCCGGGATCAATTTAAATTATTGGTGGTTTCAAAATGATAATGGAAATGTGGAGGATTGTGTTCGAAATATGTGTGTACTAAAAATGTAAAATGTAGATGTTGTGTAATATTCTTACCTGTGTAGTCGGGTGTAACATGGTTGCGTTGCAAATCGTTTAGCGAACATCCGCTGGCAGCACTCGTGTACATATTCACATTGAACGGTTCATGATACAAACTACTTTTATCGATCGATTCATTATCGTCCATTGTCACCTAAACAATAGTCACATTAAAAGAGAATATGCATGAGTTTTCATTTTCCGAGTTTACCACCATTTGGTCGCACATATTTTATGACATGAAATGTATATGTGCATGAGATTCATGCTCTATTAAAATCTGTATCGGTCTAACATTCAAACGTATAACGTGCCAAAATGTGTGTGTGTGCTCAATGATGTACATTGTACATTCATAAAATCATTTAATTGAAATTTTATGAGCGTTGAAATAACGGCATATATTAAAATGATAAAATGATTTTGTGTGATGAGAATCGCACGTATTACAAAGTTTTTGGCTTTTGATGATATTCATTTTGAAATTGGTGGGTGTAATTAACGGGCTTTTTAAACTAAAGAGAGCCCTGATGAATGACATATTTTGTGTAAATCATGAGCGAGCGCGTACACACAAACACACATAGTGCCATTTTCTATTCGATAGCTTACCTTCATATGATGACGTTTATCGATGCCCAATCCCAATGTATCTTGATTAAAATTGTGCTGTAATGAATTTAAAACGTCAGAGCGTGGAGATCGTTTATTTCGTGATACGATGAACATGATGGCAGCCACCAATACCAATATAATCGTTGTAAGTAGAGCAATGATGACGCCAACATAATGTGAATCTTGATCTTGATCAACTGGTTTTGCTGAGTGCACTGTAAATTCCCAATGAAAATTTAGCTTTAAATTAGGTCTCTTGAGAGAGTTTTGATTTTACTGACAATAACGATAGCAACGGAACGCACACAAACTACTGAACATTAAAAAAAACAAGTCACTTTGAAATTTTATGAATCAAATTCGTGCTGTTTTCCATATAATGACATTTTTCATTTTCTGCAATGCATTACTCTCACCATATTCGAATCGTGTCATATTGAATGTTTTGGCGTTTTTTTCCCTTTTCCTCTCCGTTTGACAAAAACATGATTTATTGAATTTGAAATCAAGCAAACTCATGGCAGCATTTTCTTCAGTGTTTTGCCAAACACAAATACACACAATCGACAACCTGTTGTGAGTTTTTCAATATTTGATTTATATGAAATCATAAAATAAGCGTCTTTTGTTCCGGCGTACAGCCAAAACTGTGAGATTGGAATGCTGTATTGTAAATAGCAAACAGAGACGAATGTATGAAAGCAAAATAAACGCAGTAAAATAGATCGAATAACAAAGCGATTGTGATGTGAAATATTGAAAAAAAAATGAAACGATGAAATTCGATGTCGAACAAAACAATTTGCGGATACGAATCAATTTATAATAAAAGTCACAATAAATGTTGTACGAACAAGCGGTGAATAAAATAGGCAAAGGCCTGGAATCCAGGCAGAGAACAAAAAAATTGAAATGGCGACACCGACCGCGACAAGATTTGTTCGAACGATAAAAATGTCGTGTTACGAAATGTCGAATACGACGACGACCCCAACAAAAACAAACATTCCATAAGACAAATGATATCGAATATGAAAGCGCAATTGCAAGTTAAGAATAGAACAACAGGCCTTGAATGCCTCGAACAACACATACCCGATGGTATTTGATGATTGCGATCTCCTTTGGTGTTTTGTGTATGAACTTCGTCACGTTGCAGGGGGTATTCTAATGTATCCTGCGGCACTGTGTTACCGTTCGCCTCCTCCTCGGTGAAATTACCAACGACTGGTGCTAAAATGACAAACGAAAACAAAAACAACAACCAACAATATGAGAAATGGCAAACAAATAAAATCGCACCAACTCAATTGAGAGCCAAATACCCTAGGAAAGACGGCACGACATAAGCAACTAAAGACAAAAAAAAATCTAATCATAATCAAACGTATGAAATATTTTTCAACCGCTAGATGAAACAAAAACACAACTGATAGCCGAGTTGAGTGCAATTTTTGCAAGAGCTTTTTTCACTCATGTCCCGTCACAAAAGAATGGCATTTTTTAGCGTGCGTATTGTTTCGGTATTTGCGTTTAATAAATGGAAACTATATTTAAAAAAAAAACCAACAAAGGAGTTGTCAAATGAAATGGTTGGATCGTGGTGCAAAAGCCACAACTTATTATAGCGTTTTGAAATGAAATGAATAAACTGAAACGTTTGTGTGAACAGCAAAAAGCTCAAAAGCATTTGTTTTTTTTTTCACATATTTTTGTGTTGTTCCATTTTTTATCACTCCTGATTCTCTTTTAAAAGCAATTTTTTTTTATTGAGAACCAAAATGGCTTTTGTTGTTTATTTCGTTGGTCGTGGTTTTATTTGCAACAATGCCATCGGCATCTTCAGTTGATTTTTTTTGTTTGATTCGTGGTCGCTTAATCGGTCGCGCATTGGCTCTCTGTATTGGATGGCAATGGCGGTGGTGTTGATGGTGTTTATAATTGAATGTATTTTTTGAGTGGCTTACCCGCAACAAAGGTCACTTCACTTAGCATAATCCAACGCAACGCAAAATACAAGTGCACCTGTACGTATTTTCCGATACGATGATGTAATTTAATGGTAACGTCACGTGCATTTTCCATTACTGTGTCTGGCATATATGAAAAATGTACGGGCTCACCGTTGAAATGTTGACCACCGATGCTGAAGAACACCTTTGCATGTGTGAATACCTGTATGAAAACGAAATGAAATTGAATGAATAAAAAAAAGAACGGTATTTGTAAAAAGAAAGCGAAACGAAATGCCAATTTTTATATCGAAAATGGAATGACAAAAACGCATTCCATAAGCACATTCTCTGATGACCAGTTTGAATGGGACAAATCAAATGAGATGGCATAGCTACGCGCGCGCACAATTTCTACAACGAACGGTCTTTTGAAATGGAATCGCTGCCGTTTGAGACACGAAGATGTCATATATTATTAGCTATCTCAAGGATGCAATTCAATAAAATTACAAGCACACACTCAAGTACCGATAATGCATCGATTTCAAGTGATGCTGTTACTGCTGTCAAACATATACATGAACACTTAAATTGGCATCATTTTATGATGTCTGCCATCATTTTCACTTAATTACAGTCATTGGCAAACATGAGATGGCTTTTCTTGTGTCACACTAACTAAGATACACTAGTTAAAGTATTCGCCATCGTCATATATATATACACTTTATTATCACATATGAAATCACTTCGCCCTCACTGCTTTTACTACATCAAGTTACAAAGTTGGCTTTCGATATCAATTCACAATTGTTGGTGATTTTTCTTCCACTCTTACCATTGAACTTCTTAAAGTATTTTAATGATGTGAATGTATAAACTTCTTTTTCTTCCGGAAAACTGGAACTATCTTTTCATGCAAAAAAATCGATTTGCTACAAATCTGTGTGCGTGTGTGTGTGCGCGCGTGAATAGAGTGAAATCGTAAAATGAAAAATCTTGGCACTTTTCACAAAGAGCATTCAATTTGAATATATGTGCTTCTGATGTGAAGCGAAAAATACACATTTTATTCGGTTTGACAAAGAGACTCAATGCATGAAGTTGTTAAAGTTTTGTATTTCCAAGAAAATGGATCGCGGAGCGTTCGTTTTTTTTGTTCGGTTCTTGTAAAAAGTGGTCTTGTTATTGAAAACGAAGAAAATTAAAAAGTACCAACGAAAATGTCAAAGAAAGGCAAAACGTAATATAAAATTCAACTTTTATTAACAGAGTCAACATTTTCAGATGTATTTTCGAGCCAGTGAAAAAATGACAGACGAGAGAAGAAAAAGATGTGAAGTAAATTGAGAATGAAACGAAAAACAGTATAAATATATGCATTTTATCAAGACCAAAAAAAATCATCTTCTTTTTTTCGTCTCTCGATTTCAGTTGGAACAGCAAAACTATGGCATTTTCGATGGAAAGTTGCTCGGCAAGCAAAATATTATGTAGGTCGTTTATCATTTACCCAATACTCGGATTTTGCTTTCCCTAGTTTTTGTTTGACGAAACTGCCATTTGAATCGACAAATTCACCCGAATCGACTCATTGAAACTCCTGACTTTTTCCCCAGTTTTTATTTCATTCTTTCTCGTCTTTTATTCAAATTATCATTGAAACGAAGAATTTGCCATACATTTTCATATGGGATTTGTTTGACTTTTTCTTGAGATTTTTGATTGGTATAATCGCATGTTATGCTATATTTTTTTGGCCTTTGTTTTTCCACTTCGGTTATCTCGTTAACAAAACAGCTTCAACATTTTCGTTTCACTCTGAAACTTTTTCGTTCTGTCGTTGAAAACATTTCAACTTGGCTTTTTGTTGTTGTTGTTGTTATTCTAACCAGTGTATGTATGTGCGAGTATGTCATTTAAAAGAAGTGTATTTCTGGGCAAGACTTTGTACGGTTTTTGAGTGCTTTGACAAAAAATTTGTAATTTGAATTTTATCATATGAAATTCATGCTTTCTTTTCTTTGTTGTTTTAGTTGAATGTTACTTGCGGACCTACTTTTCTCCATCGAACACGTAAGCTGGAAGTAATCTTTTTGATTTTTTGTTTTACTTCGCGTGACAATGCCAAGGTATATTCGGTTTATTTAATGTATATTTTTTTCTCTTTTTTATGGATTTATTCATAACTTCTTGTATAGCCTTGTCTTTTTTTCGTTTTATCTTTGGTAGCTTTTTTCCTTTGTTGCGTCATTTCAGTTAGTCACTTGAAATTTTATTCTTCGTTTGACTTGTTTGAATTTTGTGTGTATTTTTCTTTTCCTTTCAGGCGTCTTAACAATGTTACTACTACTATTCTTCAAGAACGAAGCAATTATTTATGCGTAATTGAAAAATTGCCCGGAAGATGTAAGAAAAGAAAAGAACATCAAGTAAAATTAAAATTCGCTCAAAAGAAAAATAACGAGAAAAAAAATGATGTGCGAAAGCATTACATTAAGTGAATGTAAGAAACAAAGTTTCTTTTGCTAATAAAATACAAAAAAAAAATGTGCCCATAAAAATAAAAAGAATTTATAAAACAATTAGAAAACCATCAATCGCGGCCTACCTTAACGGAAATTTAATTATAAATACTATTCAATCATGTTTTCTGTTTTGTTTTCACTGTTCGTTGTGCATCATTTGCGCGTTTATAGCAAAACATACAGCTACGTACCTACATGGAAGCAGTCATTCATGTATATGCACTTCGTTCGCTTTACTGATCTGATGTAATAATAAAATCCATTTGGCTACTTACCGCTACGTCCTTTGAAAACATGTTATTCGTGTGCAGTATGATGGAGCTAAAATTTCGCACCGAATCGAATTCGAATGTCATTTCAACAGGTCTGCCGGCCATACCCAATGAATCGTTTCGCCAGCCAACCCATTCGTAACCTGTTATTCGAAATATCGAAATGGGGAGACAGAGAGATAGCAAATAAATGTGTGTGTGTGTTTGCAAGCAATTAGAAAATAGCAAATAAATAAATTTCAAACAGAATTCAATTAGGAGGTAATAACAATCATCGTCATTATTTCGTTAAAGTCAATTAAATGTCCAAACAGAATCGTAAATTAAAGTCGAAACCCCTTTCCATCAACGAGCACGAAAACATGCATTGAAGAACCATAATTTTCGACCATTTCATGTAGTAAATCACAATTAAACCAATTCCAACCGGGACTTGGACTGAAACAGAAATACTACAGACAGAGAGAGAAAAAGAGCACAACAGCATGAAAAAAAAATAGAAACAGCATCATTTCCGTCTAATTTACTCGCAAAGAAAGATGCACGTTCTCTTAATCGGATCGGAGATGTTTTGCAATCTTATCACCAATATATACCAATATCAAATGATTATTTCCATGCAAGCGCACATATATTGGCAACAAAACGGACATTATTCACAAAAAGAGAAAAACTCATCCGAACGCAGTGAATGGTTCAGGTTCTTTTTTTTTCTTGTTGTTGTTGTGGCTTGCTGGCCAGCTTGTATGCATCAAGCGAAAATTGATGAATTAATGAACATCAAGTGTTTATCGTCTTGGGCCATTGTTCATGTAAATGGACGATTGGCGTACGCACAAAATGCCCCATTCAGTATTAAATTCGATAGCATTAAGTGAGTGATTAGATCGAAACAAAATTTACGGCTCTGTTTTATTATTCGTGTACAAGTAACACACATTAATAAAATCCACTTGTACACGTTTCCATATTATATGTTGGCAACAAATGGCTCGTATCCACTTTCTTGATATTGGTGTATTCGGAGAAAAAGAGAGAGGAGGATGGGAGAACGAGAGTGTAAGCAAGCACATTAATCGGCGAATACAAAGGGAATTGTAGAATGGATGGGTCAAATTGCACCGCATACACCGATCACTAATCGCAATATGAATTCAATTTCGTTTTATTATATTGCTTGCTCGGATTGTCTGAGGATATGTGCCCTGGCGCATTTAAACCATCGTTTTGTCTGCCAATGTACTTTCTGTGACGACGTCAAACATTGCACGTCGTTCACCACACATAGAGTGAGAGAGACTATCCCTGCACGTTTCTTTCTTTTTCTGTACTCATGCTTTTATTCTTTTATGCTTTCGGACACTTGACATGAATTCACTTACGTGTGCAGCTTTGATTTTGCTCTCTCGCTCGTTTTTTCGTTTTCATATAGGTATTGTGTGTCAGTGAGAGAATGAAAAGTGCTTCACGTCGTTTGGGCACGATTTTTCATTCGAATTCGAACGTTCGAAATGGCTAACATCAAATAAATGACGTGCCATGACGGTGAATCAAGAGAACAGAAGCAGCGACAGAATAACATCCACAATACAGAGTGAGGTCAAAGCAAATGACCGAACATCAACTCAAAGAGAGAGAAAGAGAGATATAGAGACTGATGAATATAATTTCATTGCCAATCTATTGGACCGCATCCAAGCGCCATAAATCTCATGCACCGATTTCAAATAATGTTTGATCCGTTGCACTCGTCGTCGTTATTTGTATAGAAAAAAAAAAAAGAGCGATGTGAGTCTGCCCTTCAAATTTAATAATGCTAATGGAAGAATTCCAAACTTTTTAAAGCAACAACGTTTGTCTGTCGTTTTATGGGTGGAATTCCGGTTTCCTTTATCTGTCTCTCCTTAATAAACGTCGGGCAATGAAAATTTCGACCCGATTGCCATCGAAACAAATAAAAGCATGGCTAAATTTTTATTCGTCTTATGTGATACTGCTGTTGCTGCTTTTTTTTATTGAAAAGAGTTAGAAGATATGAAATAATTAATGATGTGACTGGACGAAAAGAACAAATTGCTTCAGCAACATATCTCTCGATGTGATCGATAAAAATGCGTTCATGTTGAAAACCGTGACGAAATCAACTCGATAGAAAAGTTTTCGCAACTATGTTGTATATACACGAATAAAAAGTGACCAGTAACTTATTTTTATTTGCAAACTTCGTCGTTGCGCCATCATACATTTTTCGGTTTTTTTTGCTCTTGTGCATTTTTGGTAATTCTCATAAATTTATCTCTTTCTCCCTACTGAAGTATGTGTTTTTTTTTTCTTTTTAAATCCTCGGTTCGGTCAAGCATATCCCGAATATATTGGATATATATATATGGTTATCTCATTTTTCGTTTCGGTTCGGGGTTTTTCTTCTCATTTTTGGCATTTTTACAACGTCTGTGTATTCCCAAAATGATATTTTCTTTAATTTATCCAAAAAATATGGCATAAACTTATTGACCGGCGACTGGAATCGTCTGCTAACTTTGTTCACATGGGAATGTGTATCTTTTTTTTCCACATTATATTTGCCGATATAATTTAAAAACTCAATAGCATTAAAGTTTTGCATTACCTTTTCCATATCCATGAATATCGGTGCGGAAATTATCAGTTCCACGTTGTCCATCGACTAATTGACCCAAGCCATCGACCAATTTATCGTTTTCATCGTGACCATCGTATGTTTGATCGGATAAATCGATTTCCAGGCCACGTTGTACACCTTTTGGAATGCTATACGAAACTAATCCATCTGAAAGATTAAAAAAAAGAAGCAATCAATAACATTGTACTCATGTTTTTCTTTTTATTTGCGCATTCGATGATATTTCATCTCAATTTATTTAAAATCTTAACTTATTTGCTACCAACTGTGGCTTCTCTCTTTTTTTTACGCTCCATTGAGATGAAACGAATATATTTTATTCAAATGATGTATGGTTTGAATGCTTCATTCGATTCAAATAGTTACTCGCGAGTCGTTTCGATAGACTAAACAAGTGTTCAATAGAGAGTTCACTTTTCTCATTTTCAAAATGGAAATGATCATCAAAGTAAGTAAATACTTCCAAAATCGGATGGGAACTTATTCCCGATCAACAACAAAAAAATTCTCATGTAAATAAACAATATTTGGTTTAGAAAAAAAAAATCGAAACAGTCGTATAAACAGTGTTTGGTACATGTCATTGCAACGCCATGTGGTTGATGGAGAAATGGATTGGTACGACGAAATAAAAAAATGAAGAGCAATCAAAATCAACATGCATGGAATACTCAAGACACACGAGATTTGTTTATGTTCAACGTAAGATTTGTAACGGTTTAATAACTTGTTTATACTTTGTTGCATGTTCCTTTCGTCAACACAGAACACTGCACCGCACACAGTATGCGGAAACGATGTGGTTTTTTAGGAAAAAAAAAAATAACAACAAAAACTAACGACATAAAAATGCAAAAGAAAATAAACAGAAGAAAGATCTGACTTCGATTTCGGAGAAACAAAAAAAAACCATCTAAGGAGCATCGTGAACATCTTTAAGGTTTCAGCTTCGACCATCTGTGTGTAACTAATTATGTTGTCAATGTACTTAATGAACGCTATAAATACCAACTTCTTAATCGATACAAATCACAAAACCGCACAGATTAACGCAACAAAAACAAAATTGAGGGCGCCCTAATGGCATCTGACTGTGACAAGCGCAAGAGAAAAATGCGTGGTCATGATTCAGTTGAAATCAATTTTTATACGAATTAGTTTTAAATGAAAGATTTTAACCATTTTCAACAAACAAAGAGCCAAACCATTGAGCAAGCTAACAAGAAATCAATTCGATAAAAATAATTCCTTACATGTTTTCACGAAAATGAAAGAAACGAAAAGATATAAAACAAAAATAACGACTAAAATAATAACGTTCATTTTTCTCTCTTTGTCTCGCCTTTCAATTTTCAATTAAGAGTGGCAAGACATCGAAAATCCCATTAAACGTATTCGCCTTGTTGGTTCGCTTGGCGGAAAAGCAAATGTAAAAATGTACGTCGATGTTGTGGTGAAAGGAGACACAATTCAATTGAATGAGCTGCAATAATAAAATACAAGTGCAAAATACGAAACGCCAATGGAGCAAATCAATGAAAACAACGAGCAAAATGTCAAAACATAACAATTCAGTGACTGTAACAAACAATAAAAGGCCAACACAATGAATCAGTGCAGTCGACAGAGAGAGATATGTGTTCACTGTTCACACAGGCCAAAACATTTAGTTTATTGAATGATCCTGTTGTATGGTCGCACAGCATGCGATCAAATAATGAAATGTTATAAAATGAAAAAAAGAAGAAGAAGAAGAGAGAAGAAGACAAGTCTCTCGGTGTCCAAAACTCTGTACGTATGTGGAAAAGATATAGAGAGAGTATGTAAGTTGGTTGTCGGTTAGCTTGTCTTGCATGCGTTTTTGGACGCCCGCTAAGTCACGACTAAATGGATGTGAAACCAAGGTTCTCACATCTCATTATCTGAATAATGTACAACAACTCAAGACACGGATCACAAACAAACGACCAATACAATTGCATGTATTTAGGTGGAATCGAAACACATAAGCACACTTTGTTAGCACACCAAGGAATATCGAGCACAACAGAAAAGCCGTTCGAACAAACTATATTGAATTAAATACAATTCACCGAATACAGACAGCAAGTGAAAATAAATGGAACATAAGAGAGCACATACAAACGGTACTGGGCATGTGGCATGCCACACGGTGCGTTTGATTGTTTTATCAAAATATTCCATGAAATCACACATACACACACAGCATGTCTCATTCTAGACCACACTTTCTATAGATGCCATATCACAAAAAGACATCACAAATTGCAATTTTGAATATGAAATTTTCAAATATATCACATGTTGCAGACTGCAACTTACATTCTAATATTTTCAAGACTTTGCAATATATTCGAATAAATGAAAAGAAATATTTCACGAAGATAAATTAGAAATCAATTTTCTTTTTTCATTTTTCACATTACACTTGAAAATTACGTTTTGCTCAAGTGAACTCTTCTTATCTCCTCTTTGGATAGAAATCAAGATTTTCTTTTATAAGTTCAATGTTGTTTTGAGCGAGGAAAAACTCGCCGAGCTATCTAAAAAAATAAAATTTCTTCGTTATTCTTATGCGTTGGCATTATCATACTGCAAATTTAAGCGTAATGAACGAAAAATGAGACAAAGTTGTGAAACAAAATCTTAAATAGGCTGAGACATGCAAATGAACGAAAAGAACAGTCTTTGCCCAATTTCAAATACGATATCTGTTATGCGCTTAAAGATGTTGTTTTTTTCATCTCCGAGTTGATTTGAAATTGTTTTAAATTTCCATTTCGAGTCGTTTATAGAGACAATGCGACAGCGAGACATACATAAACTAAATGTTGTTCGTGTATTTGTCTTCTTGAAGATGCTATATCGGCAAAGTCACCAAAATACCGAAACGGTGGCTACGAAGGCGACGAATGAAAAAGTTTAAGCATCGTGTTTATATTTTCATGTAACAAGATTACGGATTACCTTTAATTTATCGTATTTTACATATTCATTAGCATGTTTACGTTCTTTTGGTTTTTAAACGGGCAACAAACTGTTGTCTCATTTGCATTTCGGTCGTTTCGCTGATGTTATGATTTTGTTGCTGCTGTGGTCGATCACAGCACATGCCAATGCCACCGACTGAGTGAAAATAGACAATTAATTAATTGGATTCACTTGAAATAGATGCGATGTTTTCTTTCTAAATGTTGACTGTGACAAATCGTTTGTTTTGTTTAAATTTTATGTGAATTGTGGGTTTTAATATTAGGCTTTGATGATGACAGTTTTCATCATTTCAATGATTAAAATCAACTTTTTCGTATGGGAAAAAGTTCATTATTTTTTAAAAGGAAATTGGATTTTCGATGTTCTCTCCATTTACCATATAAGGAAGTCATCATTTGTAATTAAATTGAATAATAGCTATTTACTTAAGAATAATAATGATTGAAATATGGAAATTCACTTACCAGTCCATGGGCAACCGACTAATTCGACTCGCAAACAAACGGTTCGATCATATTGACTGTATGGATAGATACGGACTTTCGATGCGACTATTATCGGTTGTAAAATATTTTCCACTTCACTGTAGGTGTTCATGTTACCAGTCAAAATCTGTGAATTGCCAATAAAACCATAGTTATTATTCATATGCATACGTTTAATAGTCAATTTTATGTAATCATTTTGAATAAAACATTTGCGGTTAATAAGACAATGGAAATATGAATATTATTATTGAATCGAATTGAATTTGGAATGTACCTCTTTGTTTTGTGTATTTTTCCAGCGTTCCCACTTTGTGAAACCGGGGCGCCAGTACTCAACGACGTATGCTTCAGTATATTCCTGTCCCTGTCCACGTCCAAATCTACCTTGCGATCGAATCGCACTGATCACATGCATTTGTAACAAATCAATTTGCAAATATTCCTTTAATCCACGTGATACGATATGTTTCGGGCACCAAGCTCCTCCGTTATTATCAACCTTCAATCTAAAAAAAAATAAAAAATAAAACGAGTATTAAATGGATGTGAATAAATTTGACAAACATGGTTTTTAGTGGCCCTTTTCAAAATTAAAATATCGGAACGATTTTCTTCATTTATTTATGACCAAACTGGATGTTTATGGTTAAATTAAACAGCTTTTGAACTAAATGAGCAATTTCTGTATTTCAATTTACGTTAGTATTTTTCAGTAAATGAAAGCTAATGTACCAAAATTAAATTTTGAAATGAAATGAAGGATAAAAAATTCAATAAATTTTTCTCTTATCGAAGAATTCATAAAATTGTAATGTTTATGGTCAAATATAAATAGTGAAATGACATATGTGACCTGAATTGAATTTACTCAGTCTCTTTTAAAAGCGAACGAAAATAAGTGCGATGAATCAAGTTAATTCTAGACCAAAATCGATTTCCACAAATATACGGCCTCGCCTGTAAAAGTACTGAATCAAGTAGGTTTTCTCGTCACTCTTACGTCATTCGGAGATCGAAAAGGTAATTTCACTAAATTCCATATAAATCATTATTAGCCTATTCGTCTTGTGGGCCAAAGTTTGCAGAAATTCATGGCCTTCATTTCCATTTTACGGCCCAAAATACATAAATTAGTGAGGCATAAAAATGATCGCAAACGAAAAACCGAATCGTATCGTGTGTGATATAAACAAGAAAAAAAAACCGAATTCTTCGAATGTTGTTTCGCATAAAGTGTATTTCGCATTTGGAATTTAGATCAATATTTGAATATGTGTATACATTTCGTCTCATGTGAAGTTCATAAATTTTTCAGTCGCCATGTTTTCTTTCTCTCAATTCTGTGAGCGTTTGAGGTTTTGCAAGGAAATTTCCCTGAATTATGGACACTTACACACATCATCATAAACTAAATTATTACAGTGGTTGCCATTAAAAGAATTATATGTTCTTGTCGTAAATGGCGACGGCGGCTACAAATTCATGTGCGTTTTGCTATGTGATTTTTTTTTTTTGCACAGAGTTTTTTCTGTTGTTGTTGCGTTTTGTTGTTATTATTGTTGCCCTCTATCTCTCTCACTCATTTTGACTGACGACTTGATCCTCATTTAGTGGCGATAAAAACTGAATCGGAATTTTCTGAACTTGTCATCATTAAAAGCAGGAAAGACATGAATTGGCCCGAAGCGATGAGCCTTAGCAGAAATATCAACTCACACATGTTAGTCTGTAGGCGCCACATGATTATTTTTGCAAAACGTCCGACCATAAATCGTTTTTAGGTGAGTTTTTATTAGAGTGCCATAATTCATGCCCGCGAAAATCGATAAATTCATATTGATGTGTGTGTGTGTGTGTCAGTTCGTAAGCCACACATCGTAATCTTATCACATAAATAACGCGGCTGAATGAAAAATTTATACCTTTAAACTTTTGTTCGTAAATTGAAAATGTAGAGCACGCGGCAAATACAGAGTGAGAAATAAAAGAAATAGATCGATCGAACAAATTATAATTGAGCTGTTATTTTCCATTTTGACCTGAATTCACACATATTTATTTGTACTTTATCTACCTCTCTTACTCTGTGCACATATGGAAAAATGAAGTTTCCAAGTTTCACAAGAACGAAATCTCCGTATACGAAATACAAAAAGAAAAAAAAAAGACATAGAAATGGAATTAGAGAGAAACAAAATCCAAGCGGCAATTATGGTTTATCATTTGGAAATTCGAATAAAGAAAATGCGCTGGAATATGACACGAATTGTCGTTTAACGTCACAAAAGAAATGGAGCGAGAGCGAGCAAGTGCCATTCAAATATATGTTAGTATCAAATATCGAGATTGTCGTTCGGTTGTTATTCTAATGGTAAGTATAGTGTTGCTGGAGTGTATGTGTGTATGCTTTCGAAGCAGGTGAAATATTAAATTGCAGCAAACATTCTGACAACCATTATTGCGGGGCAAATAATAGCGCACTGAGATACGCGCACAATGTAAACGTTGCCATCGGTGCTTCTGCAATGAATATTCGTTCGTCATTTCATTTTAGCCGTCTCTGGCACAGTCATTTTGTGTATGGCTCGTAGTATTGTGTGTGTGTGTATATGGCAATTTAAAGACACAGCACATTATGCATCTCTTGTGCCGTTTGGCTTAATGATATGCTTGTATGTGGCAGCAACGGTGAAAATGCGATGTGAATACATAGCGAAATTTTGTGCAGAAACCAAGCCAACATTTTCCATCCTCATTGCACATAATAATAAGACAAAATGCGTCTTATTTGCTTGAAGCGAGAAAAAATAAACGGAATCCCGACAAGAAAAGCGATTGAAAAGCTTAAACGTCGTTACTCCTTTTCCGAGCGCCATTTGCAACAATAGCTTCGCCATCAACATCGATGCTTATCTGTTCACTGCTCGCACATATGTTTGCAACCGAATAACTTTCGGTCGCTCAGTGAAAAGTGAGACTTTTATAGTTCTAGACAAAAATAAACATGATGAACAGACTGGATCCAAGGTGAACGAAGGAAAAAGATGAAGAAAACAAAGTGAACTGAACGCATCGAAAGCACATAAAAATTAGCATAAAACTGCTTGAGACGATATTTCGCTTTCTTTTTCGCTTCTCTGCAATAATACAACTGGCTTAAGATTTTTGCTCGGGTATCACACTAACACGATGAACCGACAGCATGAGAAGAGGAAAAAAGGATTCAAAATAAAAAGAATGAAAATATCTATCGAAATTTGCATTAACTTCGCATAAACCAAAACATGCGCCAAACGGAAAATCGATACTTATGTTGTGTGTTACTGCAAAACTTTCCAACACCCATATTTATTTACTGCACTTCCACATGGTATACCTTCGAGACACCGTTACAATTTTAAAATGGAGCGCTCACGAAACGAATCAAATTGGCGCGACAAAGATGCCGCATTATGTAAACGACACTTATTTACCGTCTGTTTCGCAAAAGAAAAACACACAACAGGCAACTCAGATTATTAGGCGCAGAACAAATGATGAAATAACAATCACTTTACCTGCACGACCACGAACACACATTTGCACGAAACTCAATATAATTGCAATAATCATTTATACAGAATTGAAATGGCAGCAATTGAACGACTGATCGATAAACCATCTACCTGCTCATATCGGCAACGATTTTTTTTCTTCGCGCAACATCCTTTTCTCATCGAGCAAAAACTGCTAGCAATGAACTTGAATGGATAATAAGCCAAGTGAGCTGAGAAAAATATAGTGAGGCCAATATTGAAATATGACACAATAATTTTCGATAGCACTTTTGCATTTTTTTTCTACTTCTTCGGAGAAACGTAGCCCGACCGAAATGCGTTTGCATATTCATAAAAAATTCATTCAATTTGTGTATGTACATTTTTTCTTCTTTCATGGCTTTGTTCGACGTGCGTATTTCACCGCCGTCATATTTTCTGTTCGCCACAGTTCATTTGAACATTGCAGTTGAATTTTTTTCATGTTTTTTCTTTATTATATAGTTTTCATAGCAATTTTCCCCCCCATAATTTCGACAAAAACATTCATTTTTCATTACAATCGGTTTGCTTGTTCATTTCAATATTTCAGCTCTTCGTAGCATTTATGTGGTGTGTGCTTTTCTCATTCCCATTTATTTTGGCCTACGCTTTCGATCGTTAGTTATGTAGCATAGATTTACAGGTATCAAGTTTCAGTTTGTGGAACAAAAAATAGTGCGGAGAAATAGGAAAACAACGACAACATTGAACTTCTGTGCGGTGAAACTTCGTTGCTTTTTTTTCGTTTCGTTTTGTTTGAAGTGTGGGAACGCTCTATCCGTGAGAGAGCGAGAGGACGAGAGAAAAGAAAAAAAGCCATTGGCAGAATAGAGTGGCACACGGAATTGCGCGTATTTGTAATAATCATAAATTATGGCAGCCATTCACAGATGGAATGGGGAGAAATGCAGAAAAAATATAAAAGAAAACAGTTAAACACGCCGAATATTTATGTTCTTGAATTAAAAACGAATTCATGCGCAACGAAGCTCCTTCATCGAAAAGTATAAGCACTTTTGCATGAGCTCTCTCTTTCTCTCTCCCTCTCTCACTTTTGTTACTTTTCCGTAGCTTCTTTCTGTTTATTTTCTTTTGTAATGAAACTTGAGTTTTTCGTATTTAACTTTCAGGTGGAAATAAAACAAAACTTTTGATATGAGTTTTCATAGGTTGAAAGCTGTAGAGAACGAATGTTGAAATATGCAAACGGCCAAATAGTTTGATTAAATGCGATGATTTACAATTCAAGTTCATTTGGGCGAATATCGGATTGTTTGATCAGCAGTTGCTATATTGCCATGCATACACTTAAACAATCGATTTTCGCCAAAAATTTCCAACGAAAATGCTATTTACATGAAGAAAACGTGACAGAAATTGAAATGATGAAATGCACGGGAAAGGAGTGGGGGAGCCGAAACTTCGTACTTAATTAAATCAAGATCAAAATGTTAAATATTATTTCAATTAGAATTTCCGAGCGACAAACAGAGTTTTACCAAAATGCAAACATTTGTTAAAAATGGAATTCATCATTATGGCTGTATGTTTATTCAATGTTTTGTTGACATATTTCTGTTAACATTCCAACTTGTCATATCTTTTATAGTTGAATTGGAATGAAAATGTAAAACAATTCTAATTAGACGGACGAAAAATACGATAGCAAGAAATATTTTCAACATCATCGAAATGTACACAACAGCATCAAATTACGTTCAAATTTACGCATTGTTTGTCAGTGTGATATAATATCGCAATCTGAGATTTATATCAAAATTCAAAAAATGCGAAACGCATTGTTTGCAACCAAAAATGTTGGCATTTTCTCGTTCGAAATTTCATTAAATTGCCAATTATAAAATAAAAATATCCCAAATCTATTTTTGCTTATGGCAAAAATGTTCAAAGTATACATAATATTTCAA